CTGTCCTGACCTCCGTAACCTGTGACGACTGATCCACCAAATGACGCGGTAGTCCGCAAGGAACTCCAACTATTGAGGCTCTACAAATCACCCCACCCAGATGACCTACCTCCGGCTCTTTTTAAAAATGGTGGTGAATTTCTGGTTAAGGAACTGAATACGTTGTTTACAAAGGTCAGGGAACTAGACAGTGTTCCAACATCATGGGATGAGTCGATAGTTGTTCCTATCTTTAAAAACGGTTCACATCGTTTCTGTAACAACTATCAGGGGATTAGTCTATTTCCGATTGCGTCCAAACTATTGACTTCTGTCATACTTCGTAGGTTGTTCAAAAACCGAGGAAGATTGACTCGCGAGGAGCAGGCTGGGTTTCGTTCTAGTCGAGAATGTCTTGATTATATGTATAGGCAGGGTTGCCCAATCTCACCATTCCTCTTCAACTTTGCCATCAACAACATTCTGGAAACAGCTCTGGTGGATGTGGATCTGTTGTCTGGAGAAAGACTTCGACCTTGAGTATGCGGATGATATTGTCTTACTGTATGATGATGCCCAAGCCATGCGATCCGCACTTAATCAGTTGGCAATCAGTGTCCGTAGGTACGGTATGTGCTTTTCACCTTCGAAGTGCAAAATACTTCTACAAGACTGGCAGGATCCTAATCCTGTACTCACCCTGGATGATGAGCAGATAGAAGTAATCGAGAAGTTCGTGTATCTAGGTAGCTGCATAAGTGCTGGTGGTAGCGTGAGTGGTGAGATCAATGCACGTATAGTGAAAGCTGGAACGACTTATGCCAATCTGGGCCACCTTTGGCGCCTCCATGATGTTAGTCTGGCTGTAAACGGTCGGATCTACAACGCGTCGGTGAGAGCGGTTCTGCTCTATGCTTGTGAAACCTGGCCTCTCCGAGTTGAGGATGTTAGACGACTCTCCGTGTTTGATTTTCGTTGTCTCCGAAGGATTGCTGACAACCAGTGGCAACAACATGTTAGTAATGCAGAGGTTCGGCATCGTGTGTTCGGGTGCACAGATGATAATCCAATTGGCGCCACTATCTTGAAACATCGACTTCGGTGGCTTAGACATGTATTTTATGTATGTCGTCCCAGAGAATTCCACGTCGTGCATTATTTGCTGACGTTGGGACTGGTTGGAAAAAGCGGAGAGGTGGTCAGTATATGACATGGTGTCGTGGTATGAAAGAAAGCTGCAAAGAGATGGCTTCTGTTGGTCCTTCACGACTCCCTGGCTGGGGTCCGAAAGATGGTGCAACACGGTGGCTAGAGACGTTATCAGATGTGGCTCAGAATAGAAGCCAGTGACTATCCTGCTGTGACCTTTTAATTTCTTCATAAAAATTGGTTTTGTCTTACTTAACTGAAAGAAGTCTTCTGGTTGTACCTTTCCGTTCCCCTATTTTTAGCACTATTATTATTACACTACCTTACACCAATCTCTTCCTTATTGTTCATTTTTTACTCTCCTTACTTTCTTTTTTTACCTTCTCTTTAAATTTTCACTGTTTTGTGTGGTGCATATATATTTGGCGCACTCTTGTACCAATATGTATGTGTTCAAATAAATAAATAATAAAACATGATAAATTTAAGGGAGCAGATAGAATACATAGTAGAAGTATGTATATAAATATGCCAATTAAAACAAAAATAAGCGTGTTAGAATATCGTTGGATGAGCTAAAGTTGTATTAGAGGTATGCCGGAAGTCTTAGCTTCCCATCTGTCTACATCATGAAATATCTTTTGAGAAAGCTGAAAAGGAAAATGGTTTAATAGTGGTTTTGAGTAATTGAAAGTGTGAATGGAAAGCCGAAGAGACATCAGATTAACCCTAACCACACAGGCTTTTTGTGAGCAACTGTCTATGCACTCGTTCCGTACTTTTTTTGGACCTTACTGCCCAAACCAAGCATCCATGGGGCAAGGTGAGTTGTGGTATTTTTAGGGTCATCATCGGATGTGTTAGTTATCCGTGTGAAACGCCTGACTGTCATTACAAGTCAGTAAAACGTTTCGCGCAGACTTTAGATTTGCTACTTTTGTTTTTACCACTATCTAACCGATCTGCCGGTACGGTAGAATCCCAAGGAATAAGTGTTTCAACCAATGTAACTTGATTAGGCTGTCAATCTAGACAGTTTTATTTTATTTATTTATTTCAACACATAGATATTGGTACAAAGAGGCACCAAATACATATGCGCCACGCAAATCTCATTCGATATGTGTGAGGGCTGAGATACTGCCCGGGTGCCCAAACCGAAGCAGGTGGTTTTCTTGGGGGGCAACACCCCGAGCCTTCGACCTGAGGGTCTGATCCACAAGGCAGTGGAGCATCGTCAGGAGATACAGTCCCATGGAAGCCGGTGACCAACAATTGGTTCATACGCCATTTTTTCCCACAGGATACTGGAGCCCATGTGCACCATTGGTTTGGAATCCGGTTAAAGCGCCGGACATTAGCTTTTCGTCCTCTCATTTTCGTAAACAACACCCCCGCCACGAGAAGGCAGTGAGTAGGACTTCCCTGCCAGAGGCTATATATGCGTGGCCATGTGAGAGCATTTCGAGAGGGAGAGCGAACTCTCCCCACACTCGGCCGTACCAGGACAGTCCTGAATATCAAGGTAGCAACTAAAGTAGAGAGTCAATCAATAATGTCGTAAAAACTAACAGCTTTTTGACACACTGAATTACTTCAAAAATCCTTTCTTAACGTTTTTATAACTACTGTATTTAACCTAAGTTGTCCCGTTGATTAATAAAGCTTGAATGCACAATACAACACTTGACATCTACAACAAAATAGCAACACATTAGAAGCTATGACAGGTAAGAAATATCTATCACTGTTCATGACAAAAATTCTCCATAAAATTAACATTATTGTACAAGCAGTACTTCAATATAGTACCTCAACTCGAATTTTAATAATCTTTGTTTTACTGTGACTTACTAGGTTTTTTCAGACTACTATACTTCACTGCAAAGCCTTTCAGTAAGTTAGTTACAATTTAGGACCAGACATGTATACATTGGTCCAAGTTGCCACACATCATTAGCACACCAAAATTGGCACCGAATTCATAGTAGTTATTCCAATGGTAACAATATATAAAATAAACATTGCATACAATGATATAATACAGGAAGAATTAGTTCGCAGAAAGAAAGATATGAAATAATTTTGATCTGATAGTTTAAGGGAAGATAGAAAGACTATACACCGACGCCATTGTGATTGATTCGGAGTCATGTCAACAAGTCTCCAACCATTCGTTACGACAGTCGCAATCCTGAAGGGAGTGCCTAATGTCAGTTTTAGGACTAAATGTAGATGACCTTCCTAGTCTCTTGCCATTTATTTATTTATTTATTTCAACACATAGATAATGGTACAAAGAGGCACCAAATACATATGCGCCACACAAATCTCATTCGATATGTGTGAGGGCTGTGATACTGCCCGGGTGCCCAAACCGAAGCAGGTGGTTATCTTAGGGGGCCACACCCCGAGCCTTCGACCTGAAGGTCTGATCCACAAGGCAGTGGAGCATCGTCAGGAGATACAGTCCCATGGAAGCCGGTGACCAACAATTGGTTCATTCGCCATTTGTTCCCGCAGGATACTGGAGCCCATGTGCACCATTGGTTTGGAATCCGGTTAAAGCGCCGGACATTCGCTTTTCGTCCTCTCATTTTCGTAAACAACACCCCCGTCACGAGAAGGCAGTGAGTAGGACTTCCCTGGCAGAGGCTATATACGCGTGGCCGTGTGAGAGTATTTCGAGAGGGAGAGCGGACTCTCCCCACTCTCGGCCGTACCAGGGCATTTGGGGGCTCTTGCCATCATCGGTCCTGTTACACACTGATGAAATCAAGATAAGGAGATAAATGAATCAGATAGTTCAGAGATTTGGAAAGACCCACATAAATTATCTGAATGGTCTAGAACTTGGTCAATGTTAGATTAGTCCATCATGATTCAAATTGGTCACCCAGGTGTTGATACATACACGGTGAATAGTGTTGAACTACCATTAGTCCTCACAGTGATCAGGGAGTCATTGTTACACAAGAATTGAAAACTAATAGACATCTCTGGGGAACAGCTGCTAACAGTGCTAGAACCCCTTGATTAATGCGTACAATCTTTAGCCATGGAGATATTAAGACGACTTGATGGTGTTCGTTTGACCTAAACTACAATACTTCGTACAATCGATCAGCACCTGGATAAAAAAGAAAGGGGAACCGTCGGGAAATGTTCAAAACATCGCAACTAAGTTTAGGTTTGAAAGCCCAAAGTCAACGTAAGATGAGTGACTAGATAAACAGAAATAATTACCCATGTTATACAAAAGGACTAGAGGTGACACTAATACTTTGGGAACTACATAATATCAGTACGCACTTGACACAAACGCATCATTTTTATCCTCCAGAAATGGAAATTTATGAGGACACTCCAAAAAAGTTCACAAGCTCAGGAACAATTACTTATCAGATGAATATCGGATCTCTTACAAAATTACCAACCAGTGGAACTGACTGACTGAAAGTAAAGTAAAGGCTTCACATACAGATGCAACTAAAAGCTTGGCCACCTAAGAGACCACTTTTGCTAGGAATAACACATGCCATTTAGCCTACTACCTTCCCTATACTGGAAATGTCAAGTTTTGCATACAGCCAACAATATCTTAAGGTTGTGGTTTGAAAGGGTATTCTCAGATTAGTTGATCTATAAGATGAGCGAACATTAGCTTATAAAAAGCCAACACAAGCTTTATTTTTATTCACAACTTGAGATTTCGTCACAATCCGTCTCCAGCTTCGGTGTGATGAAACTCATCTCGGATAACTCAATTAAAGTTTGAGAACCCTTGATTGCTAGAAGGAATAGATTAAGATTAATCAAACGCTTTACATCAACTTAATGAAAGATAATAAACGTGAAAAATATCTGCTTACAACTACAAAGTAACGTAGCGTATTGTTTGGATGGATTATAAATCGACTTCAAACTTCAAACTCCCCAAGACTAATTTACCATACTGTTCGTTCCCTGATATGTGTTTAGGTGGTAAAAACAACACTCTTGATTATAGGGAGGTATAATCCTTGGTATTTTTCTTCTGGAAACTAATGGGCGAGGACAATTTTGTTAATGAAGGCAAGGTAAGACAATGAGTAATACCTTCCAATGCCTACAGAGTTAAAGCAATAGTCAATTCTTGTTTCAAGATGTTCACAGGAAGGCCCAGTCACTGTAAATTCCTACAGACAGTTTCATAGCGTACTGGTGTGAACTGAGAAAAGGGTTGTACGAACTTAATGTGGGCTTGTTAGTGTTGTACTCGGAATAAATCACATCTTATGTGTAGCTTATTACCAAGACGAATTAGCGATTTATTATGGTGTGGAAAGTTTGAAATGATACGGCGTACCATGGTGATATCTCTATCAATCCTCATGTACTTCAATGATAGTAAATCTAGAGCTTTCAGGCTAACAGAGTAGGATTAGTTTTTCAGTTATTGCACCTTTCTAGTTTCTGTCCTTTGAATAAGCATCGAGAGGAAAGTATATTTCGTAAGGTAAGAGGACAAGTTCCAACAGCATCTGGCCGACAAGCCTTAATTTAAGAAAAAGTTTCAGTAATTTCGATTCGAGGATGCCTACTACTCAAGGAAGGAATAACAGGAGTGAGAAATCAGTATTAGTTGAATAATGCCAGTGTGAAGAAACACAAAGTGTATAATATAATGCGACGGTCAGATTCTTTAGAGTGGTGAGGAATGTAATATGGAAACCACCCAGAGAGTAAGAGTCGGGTAGAGAGCTAAATTTTCTTTATTATCATGATTCTACATATGTTAGTATTGTGAATGAGGAAGTCCTGAAAATTTAGTAATGTAGCACGTGAAAGTCTGTAAAACCAGTGAAATGTCACTGGGTCCTAGCCAAATCACTCAGCAGTCGAGTCGCTGAATGTTGAACAATCCACTGATCCTCGTCAAATTCAAGAACGAACAATGCGCATCAGTTAATTGCACGCCATGGACTGATTTATGCATCAATTATCACTTTCATTTTCTTGTACGTACTCTTACTAATATATTTATGTGACAATGTCGTTTGTGTTGTACAGTCATCAAGCAACCATAGTACTTGGATATGGCGAAAGTGCATTCCGCTTCAGGCAATTACCTCGAGTTGTGACTTCGACGATACTTGCCCGTCAATCATTCGACGAATATAATCTACGTTAGTGATCCACAAGTCTCCTTGAGAAGTCTGGATCCCAACCTGGTTAGATATTTTTGTAAACCTTTAGTTTAAAAACGTTTGGTGAGCCACCAATAAACAATGACAAAATAAGCAGTGCGAAAATTCGGCTTTCAGCCCTTCATCTGTCGTTGAAAACAAGTCAGACAGGGCAGAGATTCATATCATCAAACAGACGCTTATACACATGGAATCCGGTTTGTTTAATTGAACTCAATGGTCTACTCTACCGAATATTTTGGAAAAATCTGGGAGACCAACATACAATAAATAGTTGTTTCAGTGGGAGGTCCCAGGTATCCCAAGAAGCTAAAAGACTTGTGTTGTAATCCACCTAGGAGGACACAATGTCCTGAATTGAGGAGGATAGATATGTTGAACATTTAGTTACTCAATGATTTATTAACGGCTCTCCATGAACCACACTAACTCGAGAACCAGGGAAATCTTTAGGAAATAGTGACTGCCATCATCTATATCAAGCGATGACCGACTTGTTTTAAGAGATACACAAGTAATAGTCCAGCGTCTTCTGATTCTTTGTCGGAATGAATGCAGAATAACCTACATGCCCAAACGTTTTTTTAGTCAGGCACGCTGGGTGGTACTTTCAGACTATGAATTTTTGTCACCAGGTTCGTAAAATCAATGTTTAATTTGAAATCGGTATCTGAGAACAGAAAGTTAGTTGAAATTACTCAATGGTAATTCCTGGTAAAAATTCACTCCCTGAAACTCTTTGTAAGGTTAAAAAATGGACTTTTCAAAGTAATCGGGGCTCCATATGATCTTCAATATACACCGATCGGACTGAAGCCACCGACACCACACCATAATACGTACCGATGTTCTCTAATGAAAGGTGCGATTTCGTGAACTCTTAGTGAGGCGATATATAAGGCACAGCCCAGTCATTCAGAATCAGATTTATCATTTTGAAACCCACAGCGTTTGTCAATTGATCATTGGTAGTTGTCAAAGTCACATATGGTTTAAAGATGCCACAAGTATTCGGAGTTTGACTACGTCTTTACTAATAATATCTTTATAATTGAAGTATACCAACTAGAAGATTCAGAATTCAGAAATGAAGGAGTTCGAAGATATATTTGGAAGGCTATTGGTATATCGAGGGAAGTTTGGTCTAAAGGGTTGCAAAGCACGGTATACTGACTCGTGGTCTGGTGCGGGTACGTGACCAGGCGCTTTCAACTATGTGGGTCCAGTTAAACTAATGCGTTCAGCACCAAATCTTGAAGACTTACAAAGCTAGTAATTGTGTGGATTTATTTGTCGCAACAGAATCGTCAAAAGTGGTTAGGTAGAAATCTCAACACACCCTGAGTATGAATGTTCAAATTAAATAATCTCCACATTTTATAGCAAAAGTGTTCATATTTTTTATTGACCAACTTGATAAGGTACGTTGCTGACATTTTGCGGGGATCTCTGACTAGTGAAGTTCAATATTTTCGAGATTTAGATAAAAGATTTTATGATGATGGATGTTAGATGCAAAATATCATTGATCATCTAGAATGAGATGTGATTACTGGAGGTCAGAGTATTAAGCTCTATTTTAGGAGTTTGACTAAATAAAGTCAGTTGGTCGTATGAAACACAGCATCCAAAAATGCAAAAACGCGATGATCACTTTTCTTAATTTACCTGATCATGACACGGTTTGTTTAGCCCCTAATAATAATAATAATTAATTACCTCTCAAGCGACACACAACAATTTTGGTAGTATTCATTTTTCCACCATTAACCTTGTTGCAATTCATTCATTTCAAACTCAGAGCTTCTCTGTTAATGTGCAAAGAATGATGTAATGCATGGGAATATCACGACATCAGGATCATCAAAGCTTCCATCAAAACAAAAAGAGGTATCACAATGAATGCTATTCAATGTTATAAACCCACTAATGATATCAACGACGACAAAAAACAAGTTCTATGGGTGACTGCGATCAATCAAAGCAGAGCGCCCAAGAAAGGAACTCACCATTAAGATGAAAAATCAAAACGCCGAAGTCGAAATAGACAACAATGATATGGAGATATTATGGGGCGACATGGGGTGTGATTAAGGAACGCGACTGGCAAGAAATTCTCAAATATATAATTATTCAATAAATTAGTTATGGCGCAACAATATTCGCACACAAACGCGTACACAAATCTACATGAATCCCACCGGACCGCACTACGGAGAACCAGATATATCATATTTGCATCCATAAAAGACTTCGAAGGACAATGGAAGATGTGAGAACCAGGGGAGGGAGCTGATATAGCTTCAGATCATCACCTGGTGGTGGCCAAGATGAAGCTGAAGGTAAATAAACACTGGACAAACAGCATTACAAAGGTTCATCACAGCATTCCAACGAGAAACTAACAAACTCAACAAATTCAAGATGACTTCCAACAACAGGTTGCAAGCCTTACGGGATCCACTGAAATAAGAAGAAAGTACTATGGAGGACAACTGTAAGGGAAATGAAGGAGCATTAAATTCAACATGTCATGAGTTGCTTGGATGCAAGAAGAATCATTATGAGGAATGGATTTCTATCGAAACCGTGCACATTATTCAGGCAAAGGAAGTACAAGAATACAGTAATTAACAACATTCAAGTCACAAGTTTAGTACACAGAAGCAAACAAGCAAGTGAAGGGAAGCATTGGCGCTGGCAAGCAGAAATACGTGGAAGAGACAATGGGAACAGCTGCAAGAGAATGAAATACGAAACAGCTATATAACACAAAGAAGAAACTAGTAGGGATGGCCATCAGACGAATCAAGAGTGGGAAAGCAGAAGGACCTAACAATATACCAGCCGAAACTCGGAAATCAGACATGAAAGTAACTAACAGTGTGCTTCACGTCCTATTCAGGAAGAGTTGGAAAGAAAAACAAGTACAGATGGACTGGACGACGTACACTTCACCAAGATGACAAAGAGAGGAAATCTGAGCAAATGTAAGAACTTTAGAGGAATCACACTACATTCCGTATCAGCAAATGTGTTTAACAGAGTGTTAGTGAAACAGACGAAAGATTCAGTAGAAACTCAATTTCGTGGTCAAAAGGTCTCATCCCATGAGGATCAGTAGTGCAAAGACTAAATCGCGACAATACGGATCATCGTTGAACAATGATTTGAATGGAACTCGTCACTATACATCAACTTCATTGATTATGAGAAAGCGTTTGACAGCATGAATAGGGAGGAAATTATCGAAACTCCTTCGACACTATGGTGTACTTGAGATCATCAAAATCAGATATAGATTAACCAAAAGACAATTGAACGGCCGTGAGCAGTGGTCAGTCAGTCAGTCAGTAACAACGCGGAACTTCGTACGTACGTATTTCATTTCGAGTTGCCATACCACATTAGCACAAAGATACAGTTGTCGATTCAAATCCCATAGTGGTAGAGGTAGTAAAAGTATAAGCAGTAATCGGAAACATTAGGGTTTGAAGATGGTATTCAAGGATTATAATTCAGGGAAATAAACTTGGAGAGAAAACGGACATGACAAATTCGGAATATTAGAATTTGGAAAAACACAAAAAGTAGATCCACCTGCGTTACTGCAAGCGATTTTGAGCCATGTCATTCAGCGTCTGTAACCATCGATTGTTATCATCTCGCGGTCCCCTACCAGATAGTTTACACCTACTAACATGGCTCAGTCCGCTTGTCAGTGACTTCATGGTGGTGGGCAACGAAAGTAAGAGTAATGGGAAAGGCAGAGGCTGTTATTAGCACCAGATAG